TGGTCATTTCCTTTGTACTGATTAATTAAAGGCCCATTTTCGAGCCCATGCCAAAGAGGAATACAGTTATTAGATAACTTATGAACAACGACAAATATAGCCTTATTTTAACCTATTTTCCATACTTTATAATAAATCATCTTTGGATACAGAGTTGGTTAGAAAATTCCTCTATTTTGCTACATGTTAAGGAATATTTATGCACATGCTAAATACGACTGCATTTTGTCAAGGGATTTCGCTATCCCTTTCGGTACGACAACTCAAAGAGGTTGTTAAATGAAACAAGACGGAAAAATTCTGTGCTGGTTTGTAGGTGGCAAAAGTTATGGCATAATTATGACTGCTTCAGCGATCCCATCACCAAACTCCCTTTATTACCAGCGTCAGTTGTAGGGTGTTATACTTTTTGCTACTTGGGAAATACCCCACACAATATAAAAGGATTTAAAGTCCTGAGATTTTCTACAAGATTGCATCCACTGTACACGGGACACGGTGTGATCAAGTGCCGTGTTCCTTGCTCCAACTGTAATTATTATGTCTGCAGGAAAAGGGTGCTTCTCAAGGGAAAAGAGATTAAGAAGCAGGAAAGGGGCCAAGTACAATGGGGAAAATAGTAGCAAACACTTTATGGACCCATCAAACACCAAACACATAAATGCCAGAAGGTGAACTCGGATCAGATGACTAGGGAAATTGGTACGGAAAATGATTAGCAGAAACCTCTCCCATTGGTGCTGCAACATTCATTTGACTTCGATAAATTTTTTTAACACTTAGACAACTTCTAACTGCCTTAGGAAGGTTGTAGTTTATCAAACATCATTATGGAAGAATTTTTAGAGTTAAAGAAAGCAGCTACCAAAATGTGCACACTGATGCAAATTTATTTGAATCTTCTAAGAAGATTGGACCACTTTGCTAACCGTCAGGGAATTTTTGGCAGCCTTTACTGTACCAATTTTAAAAAGTATTTATATTTTTCTTAAAGTGTAATAAAAGTTATGCTTTGACGTGTACTTCAGTCCGTAAGTCTTGATGGAGGCGTGCACCTCAACTTATGTCGCCGTCATCACCGATCACTTGGGCTTTTATCTTCCAATGTTAAGTAAAATCAGTTCCCTATTTAGCTCATTTGCAGCGTCTTGATGAGCTAAGTAGAGGAGTGGAGCCAATGCAGGTATTAGTGAAGACCGTCTTATGTTACTCTTGGACCGTCAAGGATCTCTACAACATTACCTTCAATTTTGCCTGAAGACTAAGGAGTTTTTAACAGTGATAATGTTTGGCCTTAATGGAAGAAGTTTTTGGCAACCTCAGAGGTGCGGCATTATCATTATCCAAATCTGCAGACGTATAAAAAAAGTAGGCTTGTAAACTGCTCTAACAACTAGCAATGCTTTGCTAATTGCACTCAACGACCCTGCGAAAAAGGCTTTTAATGTCTTACTTTGGAAATCTCAAAAAATCTATCGTTTACAAAAGACAGAGACCATTCTCTCTTAACTCTAAAGTGAGCCGACAGCACGAATGGCACCTAATTTATTGTCTGTTGACGACAACTTAGGGTGGTGCCTACAAATTCAGCCGACCGTGGCGGATACGACCTACGTAGGTGCGTAGGAATGAGAATTTGAGTAACTCACTTTGGTGCATTGTGGACTCTTCAAATAGAAGGACATACGTACCACTGTGATCTGAAGGTCGACGCATTTAACAAGGGCGTTCAAAAAACAGATGGGAAAAGTTAATGGTGCGAGTATTTACCGACGAAAATAAGTAATTAAATTAAATGGTGTTTTATGGGGTAGAGATGGGCAAACAAAGTCTGCTGCAATGGGATAGTCAAAAAACAAGGCAAACAGTGTGGTTCGAGCTGTTAGGACTAGCGGTTGGGGACTACAATTCGCCTAACTTCAATTGTGCACCCACTAATCCCCAAAGACGCCATGTTCGATCATAAAATTATCCCTTCATGGAGTCTATAATGCTCGCATTGAAAATGCTGCAATTCTATGACGTTATCTTGGTTTTATGCTGCCTGTAACAAACCATAGGTGAAACTTTGCGTCATTTCTTTAACGATCTGCTGACCTGCAAAAGGCTTGCACACCATAAAAATGGAGGCAATCGTGACGATCTTAATGTTATAACATCACAAATCTCATACTAAATACTAAAAAGACAAAAATTAGGTTTTATTTTGCGATCTCTGATGCAAACTTCTGATCATCTCTTTGTTAACAAGTTCGTCGGGACACCAGAACAAGGGTGCAGTTTCTTGAAATCAGTAATTAAGATTAAATGCCAAGTGTCTAATAAAACCACTGGAATTTTTTTACAAGAAACAATTGTTCAGCATACATTTCTGTGTTTAACGGTATCGGTTTGACTTTCCGCCTCCCAAGAACACTCACTCACACCCAAGTGCAGTAACAATTTTTGATCCACTTCGTGGAGTGCGCAAATCGCATTAATAGCGGGAGACGAGACAACATGCATTTCACGCAATTATTTTATCTGGCACGATGGTTTCGGCTGTGACGTGTGCAACGGAAGTTTCATTCCACATTTGATCTGTGGAACGGATTCCCATTTAATCTAAGTGCATTATCTGGTGCAATTTCCCATTCTTCTGTAGAGTACTTCCTGGTTTTAAAATTATATGATAAATGGCTAGCAATTAAAGTATTGAAACAAGAGTGCACTAATTTGAATTTGAGTTAAACATCCTTTTACTCATGCATAAAATTAGGGACAAAGAGTTGGTAGAAGGAAAAATGGAAGCACATTAAGCCTGACAGGAGGGCAAAATGGCTATTTCGAATCCTCGAAATCGGGCGAGAGTTTTAAGCGAAGTCCAACGTTTTTGGAGCAGTCGCTTTAGTTTGGCATTATACAATACTTCACTAGGTCCTAAATTGGTCGTTTTCACTCAAGAAAGGCACGCCTAGTCTACGACTGACCGATAAAAATGCTTGCTGCAAATCTATCTTAAAGCCGCTTGCTACTTCTATGACGCAAAACAGGTACCCACAAATTTTGAAATTGTCATGCTATGCCTTACCTGATCCACAAATTTTCCGACATATTATTAGCTTCATCAAAAGTTTTTCCTTACTTAGGAAAAATTATTATTTTTTGGGAATTTGATGCGTTGTCTGCACTTTTGACTCTCCTGAATTAAGCAATTATATGTTTTTAGTATCAGTGGCACATTCTCCACCTGACTTCGTCTCTAGCGACTGCAATCGCCACAAAATATACCGGCTTTACAAGTGAGTCTGACCTGACTAGCACCTGCAACGCAGAAACCTTCTGCTTCAGCCAAATTGAGGTGCATGTGGTTTGCTAGACTGCCAAAGAGGATAACTGATCCTGGGAATTTCGGAATATCTGATAAAATTTTCCTATTTTGAGTGGAACTAAGAAACTAAATGGGACATTTATTCTGTAGGACAAAGGAAGACCAGTTACGACTAGAGGTTTACAATGTACTTCACATGTTGTGCTTTTCCTTTAATTTTTTACAATAAAATTATCTCATAAGGTTCAAGGTTGTAGGTGAGATATCCTAATGGAGATACTTGTGAAGTTGATAGCGGCTAAAATGAAGTTAAATTCCTTTATTTGTCCGCTTTACAAAGTTGTGAATTCATGTAGATGGCAGTGCATACCATGGAAGGTTGCAACAAAACTCTTTTTTGTTCTACCTTTAACTTCGAAGTCACGACTAGCCCCAAAATGGAAACAAAACATAGGCTTGTTTTCCCAAAGGGTGTTGTAATTGCTCCTTATTGTTGTAAACAACACTCGCCTCTCTAACCTCATCGCACTGCCAGTCTGCGCATTCGAGGTTTAACTTTTGAGATGCATCAAAGAATGTGCCATGGTTGGGCATCTCATAAGAATTAGCAATTGTTGTAGCAATACTAAAGGCATTATAGAACGCACCATCCATTGTCATTTTAAGTGAACCAAAACAAACGAGAATCATATTACATGAATGGTGTCGCTTGAAGTTTTTCGCTACAGACGATGCACCATCACATATACACATTGCGTATTAAATTCTTCATTTTTCATATTCCAAGGTAGAGAACTAAGAACAAACTAAAGGACAAATTGAAGTCCCATCAATAATTTGTGAATAGTTGCCATAGTTGCAAAAGAGATTAAACGGAATATTTCATGCAGCAGGAATAAAAGATCCTATAGGTCATTCAGGTGACTAATTTGAAGAAAATTCTTTTCTTGATAAATTGCTAAATGGAAATGTTCTCCACTAGTAAATAGTACAGGCTGCTTTGATGCTGGCAGATATGAGAAAACTCCCGCCTATTAATGCGACTACCACTTTAAGCATCCCACTTTCAAATTGTTATGCATTCCGGCTTTCCAGGGTCCTGCGATCGAGCGCTACGATTTGTGTTGTAACCTATCCTCCTCAGCTGGGTCGTAAAAGGATGGATATCAGAGCAAAGGCATCATAATCCTGTCAAACAAATGAATCATTAAAAAATGCATCGAAGCGGCTAGATTTTAAGCGTTGCCTACCGCCTGATTTTGTAGTCCCTGCACTTGGTCGTGGCCTGTTAATTCAAAGACTACTCCCCACTTTTATCACATTTTGAAAGTTATGGGGGATAAGAGAGGTAAATAAACCTCCAACCTCCGGAAAATACAAGTCGAGTATTATACAAATTATCTTTAAAAAATTTTATTAAAAATTTGATTTGCAAGTTTACACATACATACATACATAGGTGCAGCTCATGTATTCCCGCATACGCACGAAAAATTCATTTTATTCTTGCAAAAGGGGATAAGGAAAGCGTCTGGGGAAAGTAGAGGAAGAGAATTGAAGTAGGACATAATATTTACAAAGAACTTGCGTGAATGTGTCCGTGTGCGCGTTTGTTGGCACGGAAGAAATGGAGATGGAGAGCGAAAAAGGTGGCCCAATCTGTCACCTAAACGCACACACGCACAGTCTCTTACTGCGTTTTTCCATCCTCTTGCAAGTTGCAGCAAGTCTCCTGCGTACTGCTTGGCTCTCGATGCAGTGAGGCGAAACACCGATCAAGCATGAGGATCTTGGCTAGTATGTAGCGGTAGCGCTTACTCTGCGCGACGTAGACGAAGAAATTGGAGGTTGAGTTGACCAGCGAACCAAAATTGGCAATCACTGTAAGCACCTCCGAAACGTAGTTTATTCGTCCACCCTCAATCTCATGAAAGACAGTATAGAAGTGCATAATTGAAGCAGGAATGGAAGGTGTAGAGCATATTATGAAGGTAATTAGGACGGCGTGTAAAATTTTCACGATACGGTAATGTTTTCGCGAAGGACCATCTTCTTGCTTCTGGAAGGGGTTCAACTGATCGTGTGCTTGAAGGAGGCGTTGAGGTGATTGAGATAGTCGGCGCTGCTGACTGAAGTTACTATTTACTAGACGCAGTTTGGTCTTAACTACTGCATTAATTCGCAATGTTGTGGCTACAGACAAAGTGACCATTAAGGTGACTGGTGCAAGGGTTAGAACAACACAGTCTATCAGCGAGTGGATCAATCGGGTTAATTTGGTGACCGAGTCATCGAGTTTGGAGGACTTTTTAGCGATCCCATAAATGAGTACGGGAATGCGAATGAAGCAAGAAAAGAGGCACAGGAAGATGAGGATAGCTGCGACTTTTTTAACACTCCATAACACCTTGAATTCGATAGGCTTAAGGAAGTAGAGGAGTCGCTCAACAGCAATCACCACCACCAGCCAGTTGCGATAAAGCTCAAAAACGTTACTCATATAGAAGATGAATCCGAAGACTAGGGGACTGTCAAACTGCCGGAATGCTAGTGAATCTTGAGGAAGAAAGCGTCTGACACACCATAAAAGAAACATAAAAAAGAGGAAGAATATATCCACCACCGCGATAGCTGAGAGGAGGACACGAGTGCTAAGAGTTGTTGAGGTGTCGCGTTTGAAGAGAATGAGACTAAGGGCACTTGTGACGATTCCAATGACGCACACAGGACCTCCCATGTAGCCCATGGCTACGGTTTTCAACCGATTCGCCATAAGCGCCTGTTGCATATCGGCAGAAGTGGTCATGTCTGTCGAGAGAATGATTCCATGTAGGGATCTCGAGTTCGTCAGATGGCTGGGCCTTAAAGAATAGAGCGTTCGAATGAATGAGTGGGTGTAATGCGTGCGCTTGCGAGAAATGACATGTGGGAAACTAGGGGATGGCCTTCTTCGCCGTTGAAACCGCGATGCGTCATCACCAGCTCTCCGATTGGTTGGGAGGATGAAGGCTAACAATGGATGATTGGCTACACTTGTGCCGATTCTGTATGTCACAGGTATTTTAATGATGAAACCAATTTCATGCTCTTAAACAAAGCAAAACCCTTGAAAATGCCTCGTAAACCACCAAGTGATAATTATTTTCCTCTGATGTTAATGTTGAGGTACCACTTTTACTAATTTTGAATTTGTGTGCTACAGCTTTTGCCGTTTTATGCCAGCACCTTTTGCACACCCAAACCATACAAACGGTGAGATTTCTCATTATCGTAGATATCAATTTATGAAGTTAAGCAAAAGTTTTTATCAAACCTCGAAATGAGGACAACTTCTGTGCAATATCCTCTGTGTACATGTGAGGATAATGGACAAAGAATGTAAGCCTTGGGATCAAGACTTAACTGAATAAACTTATTGAAGGTAGTAAGCCAGACTAAACTGTGAATCATTACGTCGATAAAAGGGGTTAATTGTTGAAGGGCTAGGGGCCAAGTCACTTGAGCTGTGTGGCTTACTTAGCTAAGGCGGCTTTACAAAAGATGTGATGTGCACTGTCGAAACAAAAGTTTACATCAATTTAAGGAGACGAGGCAAATTAGAGTTGCAACCTGCCAGAAATTGCTTGTTTCTAGTGTTGAGGACGATCGTTGTAAAATTAATGCCAAAGTCAAAAGTTATAGAATTTAAAATTGTTTAGTCTACTTGCCTGTGAAAAGGTCTTATTGATGGGACTGATACTGGCGTGGAACTGCAATTGGAGAGGGTTGCACAGGCTCACAGTCAATAGACAAAACAAAATGGAATGTTAACTACTCGCCTTGCGACAGAAACGAATGCTAACTACTGCAATCTCTTGCGTCAGACGTCATATTTTGCCTTTTACAGACAGTATGCAACTTAATGCAGTCCATACACTAAATACAGACCCAGTAGTAAAATATTTGACATGTGCTGAGGTGGAAGACAAAATGAGTGCACAAATTTTAGAACGAGTGTTCGGGAGTGGGGGTTTAATGGCATTGCAGTACGCCGATTAGCTGTTTAATTCCTCGTTTACGGTAGTAAGAACACTTGAAGGCCTGCTTCCGCCTGCCCACTGGACATCAGTGCCCCTAGACCATTTTAGCAGTCCCATGGCTTTCTGTTGCGTAGCTAATGCATTGTTGACCCTTAAAGTCTTGGGCTTACCCCCTTCTAGTAAGCGCAAAGGGTCTTTGAATAATGTCGAGGTTTGATGTCAACTTTCTCTCAAGCTTAACAGCTCAGTATAGGTGTATATGCAAGCTATGTAAGAGTAAGTCTTTAGATTTGGTAAAATCTGAGCCACTACTTTTATTTACTACCACACTTTATTCTTGCATGAGAATAACTTAAGATAACACAGTGCAGTTGTGGTCCACAGTAAACGTTTTGCTGAACAAGTAAATAAAATCAAAACATAAAAATAACTGCAGCAGAATGCAAAATTTATTTGAGCTGGTCGAATCAACCATAAATAAACAAGCGATGTGCGTGACAAAACGTTTTTTTAGACGGAACAATAAACAGAAGGAATAACATATCAAGAGCTGCTTCCAAAATCTCGCTAAGTCATTCATCCTTTCCATGAAATGTACGACCCATGCTCCATCATTATTTCTAAAGGTGGGCCCCTTGTAAGATGAGAATGCTGTGATGACAAACTGAGGTGGATGAATTACACTTTGTATAAATAAACTGAGTCGGCGATGACATTTATCAATCCCATTCACATAAGGGTAGATTCTTTTGGCACAAACTTGCCCTTTCGCATGAATATGTGCGGTAATATTCGCCTTGAGTAATTAAAAGTTGGAAGAAGTAGAGTCCCGGCATATCCGAATTGAAAGGCCCCCAACGTTGTCAAAATTGTAAAAAAATTTTTAGTAGAGCTTCATTTTTCTCCAAATCTACATAAAACACTCACATTTTGGTCAGAGCAGCATGACGCCCTTGCTTTGTGGTTCGTGAAAAGCAATAATAAAATCTCTGTTGACAAATAATTGCCTTGTGCCAAACACCCCACTGTTGATGGGGCAGTCATCGAGAGCCAAGTGATTTGAAATCTGCCATCTACCGATGGGACTGAATTTGCGGACGCACTACCTCGGTCAGGGTGTTCGTAAATAGGCCTTTTATTGAGTGAGCTATTAAAAATCAGCTGGAATGCTAATTATTCAGCCCATTTTAGCAGCGTTATTTGAATTTTGAAAAGGAAGGCCAATCGAACGGAGATTTCTACTTAAAGCGTCCAAATTTCGAAATAAAACTACCGGCATTGAAAGTTTGGTCATTAAAAGGCATGAAAATTCTTTATTCCGATATTTGGTTTTACCTTTTTTCCAGACTTTACTGTGATAACAGAAGAGGCTGAACCTTCCTCCCCCGCACTTCAAAGTGGAAGGAGTAAACTTTGATTAATTTCCATGGCACTGTGCCTTGTATGAATCAGCGTTACTGTAAACGGAAGAACTGTGCCACAGAGATGGCTGACTTTGGTAGGCAATGCCAAACCTCATATTACAGAATTTATTGTTTCGCTGAAATAAAGGAAATTTTGACATCAATGGTTTTTTAAGTATGGGCAATGGGATTACTGGGTGATGGAGATCAGTGGCTTGTAAAATGAGGGCCTACGCAAAGCTTATCAAGAAAGCAATCAAATTGCCCACCAAAATCACGCTTTCTTGCCTCCAAATTGCAGTATATTGTCAAAAAGGTGGGCGGATCTAAGCAAATTGCACAACAGTACATTTTACATAAGTTTAAATTTCTTACTTAAGTAATTGCACAAATTGTAAGTCCAAATTTTAAGTGCCTGAATTTTATAACCTCTTATGGCGGAAACCGTGCGTTTGTTCATCTCTAATGAGGCAAATCTTAGTAGTTGTATGAAGTAATGGTAGTTAAAATAACTAAGAGAAAACATGAAACAGAAGAAATTCATTTTAAGTCTGTAACTGACCTCAAAGGCTGCGATTAAGAAGCACACTTCCCGTGGTTTAGGTGGTTGGTAGCATGTCGGACCCAGTGGGACTGCACTTCGATGCGATGCAGCTGCATGAAACTTCGGAACATCAATTCCTTAATTGCCAATTGGTTCATGGTTTTGCTTCAACAGCCATATATGTACCAAATGATCAATAGCGGGATCCCTTTTATCATTTTAGTGAAATTTACACCTTCAAATCTAGTCCATCATTCTTTCTTAGCTCACAAATGAGACTAGAGTGAAGTCCTCAAGGTTAGGAGAGAATTCGCAAAGAAAAGGACTGGTGTCATCTACGAACGAACATCTGGGGTCCGGCAGTAGTTCGCTTTTTCCTGTGACCTTAAATGCGGAAGGGAAAAAATTATAAACTGTGAGGCTTTGCAGACTCAACTACTGCCATAAAATCCTTTAATACGAGCTATTACTCGAAAATAGTGTCCTTTGTAGAATCAACTTTGACAATATCTGATCGCCCAATCGGATTCTTGAGTGTCATAGATCGTTAATCAGAATAAGATCTTGCTATGAAGCCATAAAGCCAAGAAGAACTAAGAAAAAGTATCGAAAGTCAAAGTGTCTGCCGAAGTTCGTGAAGACCGAAGAGTAGACCGAAGAGTCATTGGTTAGTGCTGCCTAGGTGAGAGACTGACTTCCTGAAAGACTATGTTTACAATTACTTTAATGAAATGTCTTTGCTAAAGCTATTACTCTTTCACGCACTAGTTCTAACTTCGACCATATGCACACGAAGGTGGACAAAGTAAACACAATGAAATTGTAAGATGTTTTGATGCGCGTAAGCTAAAATTTCCGTCGATTTTTCACCCCATTCGGGAAAACAACAACATAAATGCGAAAATGTTTATCGGCCGACGAGTTTAAGTCAGGAAGGAGGAGTGATGATGTGTGTATGTGTACGTGATTTCTGGTAAGCTGAAGGGTGGTTGCGCTCTGGCCTATTTATAGCAGCTTGAATGTCCTTGACCTTATCGTAATTATTGGCGCAGAGTTTGTCTCTATGTCATGCTGGTGACTAGGGCGGGACATCTGAATTTTTAAACAAGCATCGCTTATGAAAGCTTATATAGATGCCATTTTGAAAGTACACAAGCATTAAATGTAAAGCATTATTTTTTGCCTCATAAATCAGCCGATAACTTAAAGAAGAACATCGGCACAAAACATATCACATACATATTTTTATTCATTTGCACAAAGGCAAAGAAAAGTGCATTCAGGTTCTACAATAGTTATCATCCTCTTTGAAAAACTGCATTGCTTTAATACTTTTGCCTAACCTGTGCTTTTCTGCATAATTAACAAGTGTACCACGTACACGCCTCTATAAGTGGGATTTGCATAATGTCCTGTCCCAGAACTTCAGCCCTGCATCTGTTGTCGAGGGTGGAACTAAACAAGGCGCCAACAACTTGGAACACCTGCAACAAGCGAAGGGATTGATGGCGCCCTTAAAATAATTTGACCCACAATTCCAAAGGTATAATTGCTATTCACTTCGAATTTCTAAGGGAACAAAAGTCGTGACAGTTGTGTTAGCAAAGGAGCGTACCGTCTAGCTAGTCAGATGCCACGTCGGTTTACGAGCAGACTTATGAAGACAGTTACCTGCGGTGACGGAGATGGTTTGCTATGAGTTTGTGCCTTAAATACATCTCTCCTTTACTCGAATGAAGAATCGACCGAGGAAATCATTCGAGACAAAATACACAAATGGGTGGTGCAGAAGGACACCAGCCTATTTCTGCAAGAGATACAAATTGCTTTGCTGGGAAAG